AGGCCGACCATTGATATCAGGTGTGCGTCGGCAGGGGATCGAACCCCGGACCATTTGCATGGTCGGCGAGAGTTCTAACCGCTGTGCCACCGACGCACATAAGCTCCAAAATATTAAGCATTCAACATTGTCATCAAGAGCTCTTAGATATTGATTACTGGTATACAAGAGACTCAATCAAAGAAACTTATTCTTCAGCACACCGCTTAGACGAGTGAACTTTAATTTTAGTAGATTTTTCTCTGATAAAAAACAGAAGAATATAGACACCCTTCTACTTTAATATGAGTTTAATAAATCTCAACTGCTCCACATTCATAACACTACAGAGTAACTTACATTAGCTGATAGAGCATGAATTGATGATTTCAATTATTCTCAATAAGTGGTTTCCTCACCTATAGAAACAGCTTCCACGGAATACCTAGTTTATAAATTTACGGAATTTGAACGAAGTATTTTGCTTGAAAACATACGCTGGTGGCCAGAAAACTTCACGTAACTTTTTTTAAGAAAATTTCACTCATCACAACCTTAACTATGTAAGCTATACGTCCATGAAATCCGAAGCCCGATCACCAACAAAATCCCTAGCACTCAACAGCCAGGGGAATAACACTTTGGCATTTGAATTGATGCTTGCAGTAGGGACAGTATCACTTACCGAGATTCAGATATGATCGGACGAGTCCCAAATAAAATGGAACGTGCATTTAAGATTCCAATGCTGGTCACTGTTAAAAAATGATATTTGGAGTATACATTTATTACAGCTCTCTGACATTTCAGTTATTAACATACCTTCATTGCATAATCATCCATATTAGTGACCTCACTCGACTGAACTGATTTCAATCCAATGAAATGTAGTTTTCTCAAGTATTAATGTAATCTTACTAGCTAGCAGTATTTAATATTTCTTCTTTTTTCTGCTTTCTTCGCCTCCCTCGAAGCTTTCAACTTGGCAATGCTTATAAAGTGTTAATGATTTGAACTAAAATTTGCAATGGCTAAAATTTGACTGCTCTTATTTGTAAAATATTCTTTTTTATTACTCTAGCATTGGAGTATTTCATTATCCCTCTTTTTTATAACCTTTATAATTTCAGTTAGTCTCGAGCTGATGAGAACCCGTGAAATGTTGTGATACCACTTTATTTTCTATAGTTTGGTTTGTAAGGGTTAGTTATGTTTTACGAGTTGATCACGGATTGATATCAGTTAGAGAACCATTGAAAACCAGCACTGGAGTACTGGACAGCTGCTGTTTCATCCTAGTTTGGGAATCATCGGCTGTACGCACCCACTGGGGTTCGAACCCAGGACCTTCCGGTTACAAGGCAAGCTTGTATACCATTCAGCCACTGGGACCCGATTCAATGGCTCATGAATTCTAACTTCTACCAATTCGTGATTTAGCGCGACCCCAACCATTGTGCGTACTGCCGATGATTCCCATACTAGGATGAAACAGCTGTTCAGTACTCCCTGGTTTTCAATGGTTCTCTAACTGATATCAATCCGTGATCAACTCGTGAAAATACCTTTTTATACTGCAAACTAAGCTTTTCTTGTTATATGGAAATTTATCTAGCGAACAGCAAACATGAAATTCATTGATCTAATCTCAGTAAGGTTCCTTATTTAGTACTGCTATTCGTTCAATTATTTCTTAGCATGAAATTATATGTTCTCTATTCAGAAATTCGGTAGTATACATGACAAGAAGGGTTGAATACATCAAATAGTCAATCTGGAGAATAACAGAATGTTTCTCCGTTATGGGACATAAAAGTTGAGTAAGCTTGATTGATCATGTAACATTCATCTACTAGTGAACATTTAACGCATCTGTTATTGTTTATTACCGTGTAGTGATAACATATTAATAAAGTCAGAAACGACTGATATCTGATAAGTATTTGTTATTTAGTCCATCCCTGAAAAATTACCGTAACAGTTTGGACGCAATATATAGTATAAAGATTGGTTTTAATTTTTTTAAATTAGATGACAGTGGTCTTTAGATTTCTGATTTCCTCTGAACTTTCCAGTCTTTGAATCTATAACGTTTTACGCTAACATCCGAATTTGTACTCACTTACCTTGTTTTACGAAAATATGAATAGGCGTTGTTAAGACCAGTACTAAGCAATAATATTACGGAATGATATTTAGCATGAATAAATCAATAAAATTAAAGCAATTATCTGACTATTAAAGCTTTATTTAATTAAGGGTTAACAATTTAATTAACAAAAATCAATTCATCGTTCTTTTGTGGGTTGGGAAATATTGATTGTGTTAGTGAGGCAATGGTGGAAACGCACAAACGAATTTTAAGGTCGAAGTAAACTATGAATGTCTATCATACTTAAAGTCATCAAGAAGTGAAACATTTCATCACACTGAGGAATTCTAAAACAAACTACTTTAAGATACGGGAATGAGATAATCATACGAAAGACACCCAGAAAAATAGGATGTTAATGAAACAGCATGGAGACACATGTCCAAAATAAATTATGCAATAGGTAGAAAGAGTAAATAAAGGATTGGTTAAGAAAGAGATGTCACTAAGAAGTTCTTTATTAATAATGCTTTTTTTAATTTTCTTGAGTTATAATACGAGTCAAAGTCAATAGCCTCATTAAAATTAAAGGACAACGTTTTATGAATTTTCTTGGATAAACACAGAAACGGGATTGGATAGACGTCAGGAAATAAAACAGATCGCCATTTCGAAATATTCTTCAACCGAATAAAATGTAAACGTTGGAGGCAACATGAGTCTGTTCAAGTTTGCAAATGCACAATGCCGTTGAGGGCTAGAAAGAATGAACCTCAGGTTACCAGTTTTCCTGGTACAACATAATTTTATCACCTCCCTTGAAAATACTATGAATTAGGTTAATTCGTATCTCTAAAACTGCACATTAGCTGTTCACTTTTGTAGAGTAGAAAAAGTATTCAATAAAGTAGTTTCTCAGCTTTATGACATTTGTTGTTTTATTGTGTGAAAGAAGTATGGTTTACGCCAACATTTTATGAAATTCTAACAACTCTTTCAAACTTACTTAATTCTCCCTAAAGAACTAAAAAGTACTTTTGTGCGATCCTTGTTAATTTACCTATAGGCTGATTGAAACTGCTTGAAATTCAACATTGTTAGTAAATTTCATTTTGTCACAAGAATAAACACTAGATAGCTGAAGGATTTACAAAGTGAATTCATCATGTGGCGACTAGCTTTTTCATAAGCTCACACTTAAGAAACTTTTGAAAATCAGAGACTACGATATAACAGCTCCTTACTAGTTCGGAATTCCTCAGATCGATGAATCCAACCTCAGTCTGCTAGGTAAAGAAACCAACCCTGGAAGACCGCAGTCTGTTAGAGTAGGATTTACGTTTAATTGACTGGTGATATAATACAAATGCAGACCAACTATATCACAGAATAACTGTCCAGTTCACCAACATGCTCAGAGTTACTAATTACGAAATCTCATTAGAACTTTTGGTATTTCTTTTGAAAATAGTAATCAGTAAGCAATATATCGAAATTAAATTTTTATTTCCGAATTCCCATTTACGCATTTAGAAACAACAACAGATTGAGCAAAGAAATATATTCTTCTTCAGTTAGTTCCCTATCATCGGCTGTACACTAATAATATATATAATGTTTTACATCGAAAAGTTTTACTAATCAAGTGGTTATTAGAGCTAGTCAGTTTTAGGTATAAAATGCGGGTTGAAATTAAGAGGTTAGAAGTCATCAAAACAACTAACTAATAGATACTAGTAACAAGATATCTAAGTTTTACAGGCGAAACAATCCGAACTATATCTAAATAGCCTTTCAGTGTTTGCTTATATTTTCGATTTAATATCAATCAAGAATCTACAAATTCATCGACTTGATAAAAATATATGTTTACAACAAACAGGCCATTTTATGAACTTCGACATAACATTAAGAAGACGATATTTTTCTGAAACGTGTAAAGCATTTGCGCAACACATTTCAAACATTCTGATCACACACCTACTGCTTATACATATTTGTATAAAAGGCAACAGAGCATGGAGGATAACAATTGTTATCAATATTTGTCAAAATATTTACGGGTCATGATCGCTGACTGATAAGACGTGGGAAGATGAGGTATGAAAACCAGAGGGTGAAAATATCATTCAGTAAAATAAATCTTGGTTCTAAAATTGGATTACCTAGTCACGTTCATTGTAATGACCAATAATTTTAAACACATACCGGGTTTAAGCCTCATTGTGTCTGAGGATTCAACGAATTTAGGTACGTAACCCAAACCTGCTTTATGTACCGATTTAAAGGCCCTACTGAAATCAAGTTTGTGACCCTTATCTATGATGCTCTTTGCAATAGGTGACGCTGGACTGTTGGCATTAAATAGCGAAATGTCAGTAAAAGAGAAGCATTGGCTAGGGGTCGCACTATGTCATCAATTGGCAGAAGTTAGAATTTAAGGGTTATTGGATAGGGTCTCAGTGTCTTAACGGTATACGAACTCGCTTTGTAACCCGAAGGTCCTGGGTTCGAATCCCGGTGAGTGCGTACTGTGAAGAGTCCCAAACTAGGACGAAACAGCTGTCCAGTACTCCCAGGTTTTTCATTGGTTCTCTAACCAATGTCAGCTTATGATGAAAATCCTGTAACCAATCAAATCCCTACAAACCAACACTTGAAAAGCAATACGGTTTTGTTTTCTTACCTATTGGTAAACATGAAAGTATAACAAAGGAAATGGAGTTGATTCAATGATCTGAGTCAGTAAAACCTAACTTGCGAGGTCAAAAAGCATAATGTATACACAAAACATATTTCTGGTTAGTATTAAATGCAGAAATATTGCAGCCAGGATCCTACATGATGCAAATAACTGTGAAAAAAATAAACAGGTTATTTGTTATGGAAGAATAAAATGATTACCGATGATAACTGAAGAGTAACTTACAGTTCTCTCCGCATCAGTTAATAATAATTTGTCTACTTCATTGGCAATATTTCTAGCTATATTTGGATCAATTCCTTCAGTTCTTGCTTTTTCATCAATAGATATTTTCCTTGGTAAAATCCCATTCTCTGTGGCGGCAACCTATTTTTGAAAAGAAGACGACTGGTAGACTTCAGTTACAAAAAAGTCAATGTATTGACAGAGCAATTTGTACAGACTGTCATAAACATCCAAATATAATGGCTGCTTACTCAAAGGGCACTGAAAGCTTTCGAAAATATTTACAAAATCGTCATATTGAACCGCTGAGGTTTCAAATGGAAGATTGCCAGGAAGAAAAGACACGTATTGAGAGGACTCCAAAGGAAGAAACTTATTCACAACGATGCTTATAATGATTTAAAACCGCTAGGGATCTGTTTGGCTTACAAATAAGGCCTACTGAAAATACACAAAAAGCACTTCCCCTTGAGATTTATACTTTCTGTGATCAACTCGCCTCAGCAAATAGTTGCTGGTCGGCTTGCGAAGAAGCGGGAGTCCGTTTTTCAAAGGTCAGCTGTGTGCACCATGAAAAATTCATTCCATTTCACCGACTGCCTGAACCGCATGAACGTTGTAAATAGGTTCATGGTCCCATTCAAGGTAACCTCCTTGTTCACAACAATTCCAATCAATGAAACTGTCGACATCATTTGTTAGCATTCTGATCTTCTCCCAATCATATTGCCGGAATTTAAACGCCGACTGCCTATATGTACCATGGATGTACAATTCAAGTTTGACAACACCCTAACACCAAATAGATGGTGCAGCTATGAGCAGTCCACTTAGCCCTGTGTTTAGCAGACATCTTCAAGTCCAACCTTGAGAGAACAAAGTTGAAGCCTGCAGTTGACGGAAAAACCTATTGTCGATATCCCTATGATACACTTGTAGTATGCAACAGTGATAGTCACGCGTCCTACCTACTTGGTTTATTCAACAACGCACATACAAACACTGAATTCATTATGGAACATGAAATTGATGGGAAGTTTCATTTCCTTGACATCACCAAGTAGGGCGTGAAAGATGATAGTCTCCAGAGATCAATTTACCGAACGCCTACATGGAATGGAAAATACATTTCAACAGTTTTTGTTCAGATAGCTATAAAAGAGCACTGTCAAAACTGTGTTTTATTGAGCCGGAAAAATAGGACCTACAGAAAAATTCAAGGGAGAATTTCTGATTCTCGAAAAGCCATTGAAAAACAACGGTTACTCTCAGAAATTCATTAATAAGCACTAAAATGTGAAGGTTCAGATGCCAAAGAAATAACAGTGGAAAGGAAGCTTATCTCCATTCAACTCAATTTTTAAGGTGATAATATTTCAGGAATAGTCAACAGAAGGTTGAATACCTCACTATGAAGAACCTATCCTACTGCTGAGTTGGTTCCCGTTTATCGGACAGCATGCCTTTTGGTGCATTCAGAAGTCGACAGATACACTCCTCATGTAAAATTATCAAGAGATAAAATAGTTCAATTCTCCTCAGTTTGCTGCAGCAATTGTTATCAAACGCCTGAAAACCGATTTAAGTGTTCAGAAAGAAGTAGTTATCAGTTTTTACTTGCCCTGGTAACTAGATGTCTTTACTCTTTCCTTGATCTGATTATGCAGTCTTTGGCTCTAATCTCTTTCCTCTCATCTACAGTGTAACTTTGCTTGTTTCTTGTTTCTACGATTTGAGTTAAACTCACCACATTTTTACTCAGTTTATTAGTTAATCATCATCTTGAATAAATACACGATAGCTTCATTCTGAACAAAATGTTTACATAGTGTACAGAATTCTCAGCGTAATTTATTGCAAAATTTTTTCTCCTTATCCATGATCTCCAAATAAAGTAACAGTCTGAAGTGTATTACGTGACGCAAAGCTGTTAGATCTGAAGCATAGACCAATCAATTATGATATTTTGCCTTCCTCTCCCGGAAATGCACACCGGTAGTTTGAAAGCCAATTGAAAATATGCTCGAGTGCATTTCGTCACTCGAGGAGATAGTCGAATGGTTGAGACAATAAGAATTTTTGAAAATATGATGCACTGTATTTGGCCGCCTGTTGTTATTCGCCTCTTGTTTTTAATATGTAACTTTTTTCCATTACATCCAAGCCTCAGACTTATGAGACTTTCGAAAACTTGTCTTGCTTCATGAACTGAAGTCCATCATCGTTTACTTGATTAGAATGAATATATGTTATTAAAGTGCTGTTTAGTTTAACGTCAAGATACTTGTGACGTTATGTGATTTAGGATGAGAAATACAATACAGAAGATGCCTATAGTGTATCTACTTGTCAATCTGGAATCTTAAGACAACTTTATTAATTCATATCTTGATGGGGCTTCATTCTGCTGCTTTTCCTTAAAGCTGTTGCTATTACCATTTGCATAGTTTCCCCGGGCATTCAGGAGTTTCATCACTGACCGTGAAATTCACATACTACTAGAGCTGAAATAAAAACTGTGCAGCCAATATAAACTCACCAGACTGTTAGGTGAATTTGTAATAAATCATTAGCATAAAGCCTGGCGTGTACAAATTTCATTTAAAAGAGATGAAACCTGATGTAGTGTTTCCCCTTTAGAGAGGAAGAAAGAAGCATAATTAATGCCCACTTTCGACCAAATCAATACTCAGGTAGTTGTTTTAAAACCTGTTTGTCGTACCCATCATCAGTATTCCTTATTATTATTGTTTCCTTTAATTCCTAGAGGAACATAGGGCTTCAGCCGTGCGTCTCCACTGCGCTCGGTTCTCTGCTAGTGTCTTCCCCTGGCTCCAAGTCTGCCCACACGCTTTCATCTCCTCTTCACATGACCTCCTCCAAGTCACCCTTGCATTGACGACCAACTCACCGCCTCCCTTTCGGGTTCCACTCGAGCAATGGCTTGTCTAGTGATGTCACTTGATGGTTTCCTCAGAGTATGGCTAATCCGTCTCCATTTCTCCCTGCCTATTTTTTTCACAATCGGTTCCTGGTTGATTCGCTCCCAGAGATCTCTGTTGCTTATCTTTTCTGGCCATCTGATCTTGAGTATTGAGCGAAAGAGTCTTCCTTAGCCGTTTTTATTTACTGACAGGACTTGAGAAAACAAACAGAGCTTCAAGTATTTACTGCCCATACTGGCACTCATATTTACACATCGTCGTTGGTTTACACAGTCCAGTTATAATCTTTCCGATAAGCTCAAAATGTCAATACATACAATAAAGTAAATTCATTTTAAGATATCATAGAATGATAACTACTGAGCTTTTGTCATAACCATGGAGTGGATTGCCCCATGTATCTGTTGTCCTTTCAATCTTCATTCATACTTTGAATTAGTACGTTGTTAGTACTTGGTAGAAAATAAAAGAATACAAAGAAATATCACACACATAGGTCCATTAAGGTGGTCGGATGGCACAAACAACAGTATGGAAACAAAATCACCGTAAGGAGAAAGATAAGAAAATAAGAAATTAGTCCTATGTAAGAGTCATTATAAATAAATGAAGGTTAGTTAAATTTCAGACACCTTGGAGAACTAATACAAATATTTCTTACTGTTTAGCTTTGGATTATGTCAAAGGGAGTTTCCAGACATTCATTCAATGAAACCTGACGACCGAGTAAAAGTAATTCACAATTCTACTTATGATATAAACTGATAGTTTGTTCATTAGGCATGATCTTTCAAAACAGTCAGAATGACAAATATTTCAATTTTATCAGTAAACGTTTACAAGAAATCCAGTATTTTTAGCTTATAGACTTTAAAGTCAGTTTCCTCTTGTATGAAGAAATCTCCTTAAATCTGCTTATGGAAATATATTAGAAAACAAACATTACAATAACAACTATAATAATAATTACAAAGATCCATGTGATTCAGCTGCCACCTAAATCGCTCAACGACAACATCTGAGAAGTCCAAGTTTCGTCAAGGATGTTCACAAATATTCTTGTTGATGAGTGTGAATAAGCATCAGAAACTAAGTTATCCCTCTATTTTTGAACTTGGAATGAAAAAGCTGTTTTAGCCATAAGTTACAACGTATACACAATTAGTATAAAATTTAGTGACTTTCACCTGTTCTAGTACTGCATGCAGTATCAGCTCAACACTTGTACTTTCAACTGGTAATCCTTGTAGTACCTCACTGTAAAACCTCATGTCGACGTAATCTTCTCCTGATGATATGTCTCCGCATTCTTCACTCTTCAATATAATTTTATCCGTACTCTCTGGTATTAAGCTAAGTGCTGGTTTGGATATCCTTAGTGTTTGATTTTGACTTGGTGGAGAGTTTTCATCCAACAGCGGTGGGCATATAGGCAGCTGAATAACTTTTATATGCTGTAGATAATTTTGCCACTGACGTCTGAAATCAATAAGATCATAGAGGATAGTAGCTATTTCATTGAACATTGCAGTTCCAAAAGAAGCCTAAAATGTTTAAATGAATGAAATAAGAGATGCATCATTTTTGTATAATTGTATAATGAAACTATTTGCTATAAGGCTAACTATTATAGAATGTGAGTTTTAAATAATGTAAAAATTTTCATGCGAGTATGGAGAAATCCTTAGGTCAAGTGCGTTATGGAAGTCATGCATATTTAAGGTTTGAGGATTTAATTCAACTACTAGTCAGCTCTATAACCAAGCCCATTTCAATAATAACCATAAAGTACTAAACATCAGAGAGTAAATCATTTCAATATACAATGAAGGTCAGCTATACATTAATTAATATCTCTTAAAAACGAATTAAATGTATCTATGCCTCTAATGAAAAACATCTCAATGTTCAAATTGTAATTAACTATTAATTTAGAAAATAGCAGCTTTCCACTTGTACTATAAGAGCAGACTCCTAAATTCAAAATAGTCAAGTTGAAAGTTGACTTATATCAAGCGTGAATAAATAAATTAATGGGTTCTGAGGATTCAGTTTGCTTCTGGAGCCATTTAGGAAAATGATCTGAAGCCCTTACTTGCAGAGATCGATGAGTCCTCCCTATGTATATGTGGTCATACGTACATCATTTTTCGCATGTTCAAAGGGCTCAGATGGATATATTGGCTTCACATTCTCAATTATTATGATATTACCTGTGTAAAAAGTCTTTTTAATAGCAACGTTCAATCTTTGTCTAGTTGTCAAGCTGCTATAATCCCCCATATAGAGTAGATTGATGTACACGTCGTGTATTCCTAAATGGCTCCAGAAGCAAACAGAATCCCCAGAACCCATTAATGGTGAGAACAGGAGAAGCTCTTCTTTGAGAAACATATTATAAAGACAGGACATAAAATTGACATTTGCACATCTTTTAAACCTATCGATAGAACATGTTTGGGGCGTATCCTAAAGTTTGTGGAAGCCCTGGCTGGCAATTAGGAAGTTTAAACCACCTTTATGCGTTCAAAAGCAATTCTTCATCACACTAAACCTTCCTTGGTAAACTTTGTTTTGATACCATAGCAGATGTACTATTACCTGTGTTAATATATGTGTAAAACTTGAGCACTGTGGTAGTAAGTAATTCCATATTAGTTTGTTTATTAGATGTATCACACAGTGAAACAGTATTATTTACTGGATAAATTTTGTTCGAAACGTCATCCAGTAAATAATACTGTTTCACTGTGTGATACATCTAATAAACAAACTAATATGGTATTGCTTGTATTATTTGGTTTAGTCATCTTCATTGTTGTTGTGACCTTCAATATGTCCTTTTAACTTGACCCAAATTTATTTTCCCACCTCCTAACTCTTTATTAATTTCAAATACATTCCTGTGACAAGTCCGTGTGTGATCAGATTGTTCGAAATATGTTGCGCAAATACATCACACGATTCAGACAAATTACGTCCTCTTATTGCTTTGTCTAAAATATATATATCCTTAATTTTACCAATTTCTGTGAATAAATTGTTTCACACCTTACTTGATTTAAGTTCTTTTCAGTTAAGTACTATAAATATCATTCAGTTTCTATCAGTATCGGTTTTATTTGGAACTTGTAAGAAAGTTTACTGGAATCCATCAACATTTATGCTATTGGTCAAAGTTTTACACAGCATTTTTTGACATGCTTTTAAGCCTCTTTACTGCATTCAAAAGCTTAAAATACTTCAGTTAGAGTGGCTTCATTTGGATTAAACTTTCACTGACAACATTTTACTTCATATTCTGAAGAACCACACAGTGACATGAATTCCAAATAGGTTGGTGCCATATACTGCTGCTAATTGGCTGTTGAATCTCTTACAATGAAATCTTACTTTTCGAAGCATGTGTATCCGCTTCATTAACATTTTAAACAATCTGTTAACATCTTTATTGACTAAAAAGTAAATGTAAAGTTTGAATGAAAAACTGGCCTTTGTTTGACCAATGAAACGCAAAAACCATCCAATCCAGCAGGGAATCACTCATTGCCTGAATAGCTTCATGGTTATTGCACTTCAATACTGATTAACACAAGTTTGTATCAGTAACCACAAATACTCATAAAGGGATGCAACATAGTCCATGAGCTTCATGGCGATTGGCTTCTAAGACTCGCTAACGCGGGATACTTGCAATGAGAACTTATTTCGTCCAAAGAGAATTTCACTATAAAGAAATTTAAATCTGATACAATCTCAGATTTGTGGACATACTTTACACTACTCATAAGTAGAATATATTTTTAAGCGAAATTGTTAGCGGTAATGCTTGATTACATCCCTCTATTTGTAGGATTCATCATTGAAATTGAATATTATAAATCTTGTGCTAACATTTTTTTCCGAAAGAAAATTCTGCACTGAGGCAAGATGAAGTCTCAGCATTTCCCATCTTATAACAAAAATCGAATGCCTACTTGCAATTTTGGAGCATATTTGTAGTCAAGACTGTAAATATTTGAAACTGACACGTCCTCTAAACGGGATTCTCACATAATAAGTGATTCACACGCTCACTAGATATTGTTACAGTGTGCCTTCAAGGAGTGGGCTAGTTTGATTTCGTTTAGTTATCCATGTAATTCTGTTTAATTTGAGACTGACCTTAACGTCACCTAGTCTAGTGGCAGGTTCAAGGTCAAGAATGAGAGGAGGTTGGATATGGGAATAGAAACCCCATCTCTTCAAAAACGATTCCATTGCTACTGCAACGTCAAAGCACAGAAGAAGTAAATTTATTCTTCTGTGAAATCGGGAATACTATTCAATCTGAGTATGGGTAACGCCGGATGATGAAAACCTTGGGGAAGCCAGCCGACCTATATGTCTCCTTTCCCTGAAAGTAAAAGTAAGCATAAGGACATGGAATATGCTAGCCATGTTTGAGGCTGGCAAGGCTCCTCAGTTCGCAAAAGAATTGGGGAGATATGTTGCAAATATTTTGCGAATCTGTGAGAGCAGATAGAATGGAAGTGGACTCTCCAAACTATTAACTTGGGAGTAAATGTGCTGATTTATAAATATTCTTACATTCACACATTTAGTGTGTTCGCCAAATAATGAGTCATTCGGCTTGTCTACTTTGTTTCTAATCAAGTATACGGGTGCATGTGATGACTTAAATAATTATTTTAATTCTGTTAATTGCTTCTATTTAGTTTTCAATGTCTGACTGTGCTATTCTTCCTGCGTGATTCCGCGTACAAGTTGTAGTTAGTATTTATTGCTATTTCGTCATAAGACGGTAGAGTCAATAATCCACTCAGTCCACCCAAACGAAAACCATGAGCTCACTGAAGTATTGGATACCATTGTTTCACTTACAGCAGTGAAAGTTTTCATGTAGTTGGAACTATCCTTCATCAGGATCATGACAACAACATTCATCTCAATTTAAAAGAAAAGAAAGTTACACTTATGTAATGCTAAGCGCCTACAAAAGCCACAGACCAAGAGAAGAATGAAGACTTCTACAGATGACTGACTGCAGGCAGTAACAGACAAGACTCAAGCCAGAAGGCAACATCAAAATTCCTATGGAAGTTATGAATACCAAACTGGGAGAAGAAAACTCATCATGGATCAAGAGGCACTATGTGAAATGAATAAAAATGGAGAACTTCTTTCTGGCCTCTATGATGTTAATGATAGGACTGTTGAAGGCACTGTGTACATCTATGAAGATATCCTCAAGCCAATATGGGTTTCATGAGATTAATACACCAAAAATCACCTCTACCTCAAGAAATTGGAAACGCAACCCAGAGGAGCACATGTAGGTTGAGACCACTATATAGTGCAAAAAACCTTTTAATATACAGTTGATAGCTTCCAAATAAACTGGTGATAAATCACAATTCAAGTTCAGCACCCAGAAACCGAAGGACGAAACTACAATAAACAGCTTTGGTCATTAGAAAAAGTAAGAGACATCGAGCAGCATCACTGCTGAAACCCGCATAGAAGAACACAGAAGTCCTCTGAAAGCGTCGCAGAAGGTACCCCCGACAAAATGTCCCTAGAATATATTGATTTTGTGGGTGATACATTTCTCATGTCGCGGAGACTCAGAAATATGTTAGCGAAAACCGACGAGTTGGCATACATACAGAAGATACCTAACCAACAACAGTGGCAAACACCATCAACGGGAGAAATCAAAATGAAATCTATTTTGCTTTCACTTACCTGGGAAGTATCGTCTCAAGCGCAGGTAGCACTTATAAGGATGGCAAGGCCTGCCAGGATCATATAGAAAAAGTAAGACAGGTATTCATCAATCTGAAAACAGTCTGGAGATTTACAGTACTTGGCACAAGGAATAACATTCAAAGTTTTAAAACTAATGTGAAGTCAGTCAGTGCTTCTATATGGTCCAGGGACTTGTATTGTCGTCACAAAAAGCACTTCCAAAGGTTTTCAGACTTTCCTCAACAGCTGTCTTTGATAGTTTGACATTGAAAATCAGATGACCAGCTAGGAGGGATAAGCAACAAGGAATTCCGGCAGAAAGCGAATCAACCAAGAACCTATTGCCCGTCAGTAATGCAGGAGGAAACAGAGATGGATCGGACATGCGCTGATGAGACAATACGTGCCAGGCCCTCGAGAGTAACACTAAACGATGAGTTATGCATCCGAGGGTGACAAGGAGGATATCATGTGGAGAAGAAATGAAAGCTTTTGGGTAGTTGTGAAACCAGTTGACAGCGAAGGCAGAGAACTGAGTGCATTGAAATTGTGAGTCTGTGGGTCAATGTTCCGGTTGGAATGCAAGGAATGAGTAATAACATAGTAATTTGAGAATGACCAATCAGTTTCACAGATCAAAGTTACATAAATTAGTTTGTTGGTGCTAACTTTTCATTCACAGTTTAATTACTTCGCCTTCTTTTACGTTGGAATCACTGATTATACATATTACGATACTACATGATTCGCTGAATTTTGTAGTTAACAGTTGATTCAATTACCAAAAGTTTATGTTAATTAAGAGTATGAATCTTGTGATTCAACCACTTCACTTTGAAAGGTGCTTTTAGCCAGTAAGTACTTGTGGAAATATAGATGGTCCAGTATCTTAGTCAGTGAAGCACTATCCTGATAACGTACAGTCAGATGGATCAAATATTTTCCCACTCATACTTACATTCGAATTTCAAACAACATGCTTTTTGCAATGAAATCAGTCTTTTGAACCAAGGTAATATTGTTAGTGCAAAAAATGAAATTAAAACGTTATAATTTGTAAGTTCGAAAATCATAGATAGTGTCCTTATTATTAAAGTCAGTATAGTATGTTTAATAAACTCATTAATGACAATGTGAATGACTTACTCTATTTTCTGTTCCATTTAAATCATCAGGAAGTAATTCTGTTTTAACATTATAGTCTAAGGTGGCAATATTTCCAAGAAGATCGTACACATGATCTCGCATTAAAATGCTAGTTGTACGCCAGTATTGTCTTAAACGTTCTTCTGCTAACAATAATGCTTCCTGCTCAGTTCTCATTTGCTCCAAATCTTGTTCATCTGATAATTCAAATAGATGATAATTTTGTTTTTAATGCTGATAAAATTTTACTTAATTGTGCTGACACTGTTTGCATCAAAAGATACATTTTGCAAATTTTAGGAAGAAACTTTTGTTCTATTAGGAGACAGTAAGTCACGAGATAAATGGAGTATTTGTGCTTTTTAAAGAAGATCCCGTTCTACCTTAGTCGCTTCCAATATTTCTTACCATTTATGAAGTTCTATTCCAGTTAGCCATTATTTTGCGTTTCATTTCCTATAAATTTGGTAAGTGCATCAATTTTTGGTCAGCATTTACATGACTACAACTGTCATACTCTACCTGGTATTCGGAAATGACTGATAACTGAAAGTACCTGGTTTACCTGATTTTCTTTATCATGGATTAAAGACACTAAACGACAAAAGGACAAGTTGCACAAGAATAGAGTGTAAAAGTTCCACACAATTGTTGGCTTCCACCATATTTTGTCTATCAGTAAAGGCTTCTACTGAAAAACTATTTAAGTAATTTATTGTCTGATTAGATTTTATACTTTCTTAATTAAATGACTTTTCTATAAAATGCAAATGTTGTTGTTCAGATGCCTCAGTTCTACAACAGATGAAATCTGCCTTCAATTTTTTCTGCTGTGATCTAGATCTGCATTAAAATTCAGACATCATTTCAGTCGCTTTCATTCGGTAAAAAGAGAAAACACAAAGATATACATTTGAAACGGACGTAAAACACATGTTCTTTGTTGATTACGTCTGCTGTAGAAGATAAGTGACATGTGTCATTAGGATCATTTCTCATTGTCCGTCTGGCAGTTATCAGTGGTCAGCTTAACATTTTATGTCTAGCTACTGCTACGTTAATTAGGAAGTTCGTCTTGGTTTAGCTCGGATTAATTACCTGGATCATGACTACCTCTAGAAACATGAATAATATTACCTATTGTTTCTAATTAGACTATTCATTACACATGAATACGAAAATGCAAATTAATACATAATATCTGAAAGACAAACACTCAGTTAATTTCTTTCTTGATATAACTGCATTGATTTCACATTACTTGCATTGTGGAAACGTTTACTGTTGGAAAACTGTTGATCGATTGATTTCACTAATTTCACTAAATCTTAACTCATACTTTAGGATATTTCTGTAATCGAAAATCCAATACATGATACCTTTAGTTATTAAGAAACATGGGAAAACTTTTGGTTATTCATCTGGCACTTATAAACGCCAGTCAGTATACTTGACAAGTGACCTGGATCATTTGTTATCTCTTGAAGTAATGCCATCATTCCATATTAGATGAGTTTATTTTAAAGATCACATAGTGAGGCAGTATTAACAAATGGATGACGTTTCGAGCATAAATTATTGCTAATAGTCACATCATTGTAGTCAGACGGTTTCAAAATTCTATATATATGAAATTACATTCTACCGCAGTGCCCAAGTTCTACACTAACAATAATGTCACCTTATTTTCAGTAATACAAAACTGGCTACTAACTAGTAGTATAAGTTTTAACTCTAAAAGAATGAATTTAACAAGTGTAAATTGTCAAATTATGATGCCTACCTGTTATACTTACTATTACATCTCATTTGGGTGAACAGCTTAATATATTTTATTACGACAGACTGGAAGCTAAAAAGTGAATCAGATTAATTTCGTGTTGATAAAAGGATGGGATGGCGCAGCAGTAATTTATAAATTTTCTAACTACCTGCTTTTCTGACTTCTCCAAATCACAGCTTCCTTAGTCCTCCGTGTGACTTTTATGTGTCAACACTTGATAAAGTTGGAATCTCTTATCAGCCACTACATACTTTTTGTTACTGGAGTCAACACTGGAGAAAGTCATTTGAGAAAGGTTTTCTTTTACATGATAATATTTAATGATTTCTTTATCCCCTTCTAATACATTTATTCGCACTGTCACCAACGAATGAACGCATTTCCTAATGTTCGGTTTCTGTTGTTTTTCACCGTTATGATACATCACATAAGATCCCACTAACACTAACAGGTTAAGATACAAAGGTTAACTGAAACAATGTCACACTAAGGTTTCATCATCTCATTAATCCATGCCTAAGTTAGAAGTCCCTAGAATCATAAATACTTCCTCATGCACTTTCGTGATGACACTAGCTCAACTGACATCTTCGGATGATAATAAGTTGGAGGCTTAACGGAGTAATGTTAGAGAAAAAAATAATAATCTGTAAATAGTTTGGTATTCTTAACGGAGATGTCGAAGATATCATCAAGTCTGATGATGAAGCCTCCACGATCAAAATTCAAACGTCGGAAAACGAAAACAGTTTGTGCCCTCATTTCGAACTACAAAAGGTTTTATTATTTCAGATCTGAAAATTTCAGTCAGTTCACAATCAGACACAATATATCGTCAGCAGGCCAATTCCTGAATGGAAAGGAGAAGATTTGCAGCGCAGATGGATGATTTTGATGTATTTGTGTTCTCTGAGCTAGATGGTTTACTTGAGAAACAACAGCCAGACAATACACCAGTTGACTGTCAACCCATTAAAACAACCACCATCAAAAATGGAAAAACAACTGCTAAAAAAAGATTACGCTACAACGCTGAAGACGCTTCAAAAGCTGATTTCTTCGCTATCCTTGAGTAATCACTCAAATCAACAGAGTTAGATAAGGAAACGCAGGAAGAGATACTCCAAACAATCTTACCGATGTTTGAACAGAAAAACAACAAATACAACTCAACTCTCAAGAACTAAAGGCGTTCAAGAAACTGAAAAGTAGGAAAGACATCGTTGAACTACCATCTGACAAAGGAAGAACTACATAGAAGAATACACCAAGGAAGATGAAGAACTACTCAAAGATAAAGAATTATACCAATAGCTTACAACAAACTCCATCCAAAAATTAGAAAACCGCACCCAGCTTACCAAAACAGGTCTTATCACAAAACAAGACCAATGGCGAATGAAACCCAGCGGTTCACTTCTACCTTGATTCTACGGGAGACCCAAAGTACACAAAGAAAATATCCTATTACGACCAACTGCACACTCCCAGGAACCCCAACATACCATTTATCCAAAGAACTATAAAGAAAATTGAAACACTTAACGGAACCCTGCGATCACTTCATCAAATCTGCAACTCAGTTGCTAGAGAAAATCAAAGGCATTCATGTAGATGACCAAGAACAACAACAACGATGATCACCTCGCACAACAATCAAAAATGCAACAAGCAAGTTGGATGGAATGGATATGTCTAACAACGCATTATCAGTTCAACAGCCAAATATATGAACAGATTAAAGGGGCATCTATGGGATCACCCGCTTCAGGTTTGATTTCAGAAGTTGACATGCAAAAACTTGAAAATGTTATCTTACCGAAAATCAAACCCAAAATCTAGCTACATTATGTGGATGACACATTAGTAATAGTCAAAAGAAACAACCAAGACAAAACTCACAACCTAGTCAATAACATCTTCAACGACATCAAATTCACAAGAGAAGAGGAATCTGGGAACTAAATCCCATTCTTGGACGAATTAGTCAAGCGAACATCCACAGGAAAATTAGAAACTCTAGTTTACAGAAAATCAGCCCACACAGATCAAATACTCAATTACAACAGCAACAACCCAATAACACACAAAAAGAGTTGCATACAAGCATCATTCAAGAGGGCCAGGGCTCATTGCAGCACTCCTGCCCTAAGGAATATCTGATGGACGTCTTCCAAAAGAATGGATATCCACGAAACTTTATCAAAAGACATCTACCTCCTAGGAAAACACAAAGAAAATCGTCTTACCATGCATAAAAAACATCTCAGAAATCACTGCAAGACTTTTCAAACCTTTAGGAGTTGCTGTTGCGCATAAACCAACAAAATCACTTCACTCAACTCTGTGTCAACCAAAAGATTCAAAAGCGGAAGAAGATAAAACCAATGCCATCTACAAAATAAATTGCATTGACTACGAAAAACACTACATCGACCAAAGTGGATTCCCTCTTCGTCTTCGTATTCATGATCACAAAATAGCCGTCAAGAGACATGATATCCGCTCCCTCATATCGCTGTATACAGCCAACCACAGACATCATTTCGACTGGAACAACTTCCAAATACTGGGACGAAGAAACATCAAGAATACCAGAGAATTTTCGAAAGCCTTGTATCCCACTGAATAGGTAATTAACAGGCACACTGACGATTTTCTTTGTGTTTTCCTAGGAGGTAGATGTCTTTTGATAAAGTTTCGTGGATATCCATTCTTTTGGAAGACGTCCATCAGATATTCCTTAGGGCAGGAGTGCTGCAATGAGCCCTGGCCCTCTTGAATGATGCTAATATGCAACTATTTTTGTGTGTTATTGGGTTGTTGCTGTTGTAATTGAGTATTTGATCTGTGTGGGCTGATTTTCTGTAAACTAGAATTTCTAATTTTCCTGTGGATGTTCGGTTGACTAATTCATCCAAGAATGGGATTTAGTTCCCAGATTCCTCTTCTCTTGTGAATTTGATGTGGTTGAAGATGTTATTGACTAGGTTGTGAGTTTTGTCTTGGTTGTTTCTTTTGACTATTACTAATGTGTCATCCACATAATGTAGCTAGATTTTGGGTTTGATTTTCAGTAAGATAACATTTTCAAGTTTTTGCATGTCAGCTTCTGAAATCAAACCTGAAGCGGGTGATCCCATAGATGCCCCTTTAATCTGTTCATATATTTGGCTGTTGAACTGATAATGCGTTGTTAGACATATCCATTCCATCCAACTTGCTTGTTGCATTTTTGATTGTTGTGCGAGGTGATCATCGTTGTTGTTGTTCTTGGTCATCTACATGAATGCCTTTGATTTTCTCGAGCAACTGAGTTGCAGATTTGATGAAGTGATCGCAGGGTTCCGTTAAGTGTTTCAATTTTCTTTATAGTTCTTTGGATAAATGGTATGTTGGGGTTCCTGGGAGTGTGCAGTTGGTCGTAATAGGATATTTGTCTAGTTGTCTAGTAGGGCAGTGAAAGCTTCGCAAGTGAACCATTCAGCTCAGAGAACACAAATACATCAAAATCAACTCGCCAATACTACTGATAAACACTGCAAAATTAATTTGAAATTCAGTAACTTGAGTTTAAATATCGAGCTGTGAACAACTGAACAGTTAAAAAACACATTTTAGTAGGACAAATTATGAAAACTTACATCCTTTTGAACCCCACATCTTTTCAGCTTTTTGTTTAGTAATTAATATCTGCAACTGCTTTTGATCGTTTACATGTAAGCGTATGATACTGTGAATGTCTATGTGAAGACGACATAACTCTTCCAAAAGCCCAAGTTTCTCGAAGTTAACAAGTAAAATATACCGCGAAATTCCATTATCTGGTTCATCCCCTGTTAAATATTTTTGCACAAAAGTTAAACTTAAATGAAGAATGTAATAAGTTTTTTAGCAATTGAAAGGGGTTTCAAACAGTACTTAATGCGTATTTAGCTCATAAAAATACTCGCTTGGAAGTTATTAAAGCTGATGAAAATACTTATACTAAAATTCAAAACATTTTTGGACACAAGGTTTCTAGATTATGACAAAACTGTAGGCTTTCTTGAGATCAACAAGTAGTGAAAATAAACATTCTGAGAAGATAAATAAAATTTTATCATTGATATTTCTTTAAAACATGTAGTCAGGTGATGCGGATAATGACAACCTAGGTTTAAATTTACGCTTGAAGTTTAAAACAAGGTGCTTAAATCTACGAGGGCTGATTGAAGTAGATGAAATACTTTCAGTGATGATCTGTGTACAGTAGTTTTAGTAGTAAGGCATATGTATCATAATTTTACACTAAGTAACAAACTCATTGACTATTTCTTTTATTTTTGAAATTTGTAGCCAACGAGCATTGAAGTAAAGACATTAAGGGAACAAGATAACTGCAGAAAGAATAAATTAATTAACTGAAACAGATATTAACAATAAACCAAGGTAAACGAAGATTACTTTTATTTATGCGTTTATGATCACATCTATTTGGTCAATCAGTTACACAGTTATAATAAACCAAAATCAGGACTACATAAGGAAAAGCAATACTTCTATAACCAACTCAAAATAAAATTAACAAAATTTAAAATAACAAGTACACAAGTAGAGGATAATAACAACTATAGATTAATGATGCAAATACATTGCCATTGTAACGAATTTCGCGTCTCGTCGGCAGGATCTGCCAACTGCTGTTTCTTAATATTTTGCATGACTAAACTTTGGTGATCAACAGTTACTCAAGTAACTTAAACAATCAGTCATTTGAGTTAATATATGTGTAAAACTTGGGCACTGTGGTAGTAAGTAATTCCATACTAGTTTGTTTATCAAATGTATCACACAGTGAAACAGTATTAGTATTTACTGGATGACGTTTCGAACAAAATTTATTGTTCATAATCATATCAATTATAATCACACGACTTTGAAACTTGAGTTTTATAGTTTTCTTTGTTCTCTCCTATTTGTCGTAGGGGTAGTAGAATTTTCCAGATATCTGGGATAGGTGTTGAATCATTCCTATTACACGTATTTGCAGTTGATTCGATAAACAAAGCTTCTGTTATCAATCTCTCCCTCCACCTTGTGACAGTTTTAAAATCTAATGTCGTGTGATTATAACTGATATGATTATGAACAATAAAGTTTGTTCGAAATGTCATCCAGTACATAATACTGTTTCACTGTGTGATACATCTGATAAACAAACTAATACGGAATCAGTTATTTGCTTCCTATACTGCTGATACGCCTCATTATCACCACTCTCATAAATTTCATAACTTTAACTTGGCGGCAGGTAGTATTAGATGCTAAAAATGCAGTCGTTTATGATGTGGATCACTTGATACAAGTAGACAATCTTGCCAGTTGATTTATTTTGATTACAAAGGAATATGGGCTTGCGATTTGTGACTTCATAACATGAAGTCCATAAGTCGGATTGTTTAATCACTGGGGAGTAAATGTGGATAGTCTGTAATCAGTGTCTAAAATGAAGCGTGGTCATAATTGTTTAGTGAACCTGTCAGCATACAATCTAGTTGGACGACTAGAATTCTATAAATGTTGAATTTATTCACTGTGAAATAAGGTTCGTTTCCGCAGTAGAAAAAGCTACTGTCCTTATTTATGTTTTAAGTGATGGATGACATAAGACTAATTGATTGAGTTATGTATAACGAAAATACCTGTGTCCACTTGTGGAAATAGTCATTTTAAAATGTAAGTGCACTCTGTGAATTACAAGTAGTTATAGACGTTTTTTCCAAAATATCAGGATAACCATATTTTATTGAAGTTTTGCAAACTTTTACAAACAGACTTCAATCTATGCGTCTATTGCTATGACCAATGTGTGATACGCTGTATCTGTCAGTGAATTTCAGTCTTCATTACGCAATACTAGGTATTAGGTTATTTCAGCTCATATTATGAGAAACATTAGAGTTAAAATTTTCTTGCAAAGTTAGTATGTACTACCAATGAAAAATTATATTAATTAAAACTATTTTCAATATTTACAAGGGTTTTCACTCACCGAGATATTTTTCCTCTGGTATTTCTTCTCCACGCTTATAAAGTTTACTTTTCTCTTTGGCAACTGGAGGTTCTGACTGTTTAATATTTTTAGTTCCTGCTTTTTTATCTTTAGGATTCTCTTTCTTCTTGGATTCTTCCGGCCGGTTAGGTTTCGTGACTGACTTTAAAAGGAATGTTGAAAGTTAGGGAATAATTAGGCGCTTTAATCAACTTAGCATAGATTATAAAAGAGGATTTATTTTTAGTAGCACATGAGCCACAAAGTATCATCTTCCATATGAACAGATCGAGACAAAAACTGACTGATTTTCTAGAGTAATCTAATGCATCCACTTCACAATATATCGTACGGTTGATAGCATGAATGCATCAGGCAACCAAACAAAACTGCTATACGACGTGAACTGCTGACTGACTTTGGTGGTCAAAACAAGTCATTCATTCGAAAATTACACAGTTTGAAGCGGAAATTCTCTATGGATCTTCATTCAGAATTGGGGTGACCTGAATTGATCTAGCACTCTGAGCTGAGTCGGTGTGGTACATAGCTGATAAAATAGGCCTTTAAGAAGCAAAAACGTTTTCCGATGCTTAAATGACCTCACTGTGTCTGGCAATCACTAGTGATTGACATAAACGATTGTCAACTGTTTATATAAATCTCCAGCGTATTCCATATTTCAGTTTATATATCTTTAAGAAGATGATATTAAGTAAAGAATTTATATTTAATGTTATAAGAACACGATTAGCTCACACATTCGTTACAAAACTAAAATATATACTAGTGGTTATCTGGTAGCTCTGATAACTTCACTAAATTTCGAATGAAACGAAGAAACTATAAAATTATTAATAGTTTATAAATGAAGTCGTATGACTAATAAATTTTCTTCCAAGCGCTACAACAACTAAGTGTAGTAATATCCGAGTTAATTTTTATAATAATTTTTAAATTTTCCTAATGTGGACAATTTTTTCATGATCAGCAGTAGCGATCTGAAAGTACGAGTAAGCATACTGAGAGGAAAATGTTGGTTTTCAAGAATGTGGTTGGTTACTGAATTTAATTTCTTGAGAAAATATTCTCAGTCTTAAAAATATATTCATTGTGCACTATGTCTCTGCATATATATATATATATCATATTGTTGCACCATTGTTACCTAAGAAGCATACCAACCTCTTGTAAAGAATTCAGAGGGGGCAATAAAGGTGCTAGTGACCCTTCAGAGCAAACCACAAAACGAAAGTTTACGGAAGCTGTCTCTTTACAATTAGCTACCACCGGCTTACGAATGACTTAATAACCGCCTATAATATTATAAATGGCCAGAGCCATCCAAACAACAACCATCAGGTCTTCACGAACTACCTGTTGTTAGCCCACAAAATATTGCAGGCCATGGGGGAAATCTCGGGCATCCTTCAGGTTCTCCACACCTCGATCCTGCCGCTCCTGGAACTCATTACCAGTGGCCGTTGCTATGTCACCTACGGTGGAAAACTATGATCGGAGGTTGGATAACCATGCAACAACCCACTATCCCTTTCACCACACTGTTATCTAGCCCATACATGCCGCACTCTATCAATAGGTTTTCAACTGGATTTGTCCTTGTCAATCACAGAGTCTTTCATGTGTTACTCTTCTACTCTCTCTGATTATTCAGGAATTTACTTATTTTCACTTATATTTCTATGTCTATTTGTTTGTTCACTGTTTTCGAATTTGCAAATACACCATTAATCATGTGACCATCATTTATATTCAGATTTATTGGTTGGTGATAGAAGGCTGGAAGCCCGTGTTAATCATTTTCTAGTGAATTTTTGTGCTTGTCCAAACCCTTCTTGAATGAATCAGTTAAGGTTGTAGACACCACTTCTTCTAGGAAGACAGTTCCAGGCCACGCGCTTCGCTGTTTACAATAGCTGCAGAACATGGCCGCCGGGATGATTCACTCAGAAGCTCACCGAAGATCAGCAACTACTCCCCCAACACCAAAAAGCAGGCTCTAGGAAAGATGGTATTTGACACAGGCGTTCTTTAAAATAAACTGGTCTACTGCCCTTTTAACGGACTGCGTATTCATACAAATTTGTTTGATATCGAAAGAGGACTTAATTATTACTATTTTTGTTTGCATTCTGCCTAAACAGACATGCAATGCAGTACAACAAACTAAGACCATACTTTCATAACTTACATTTTTCTTAGCAGATTGCTGTTTTAGATCTTCTACTCTCAAATTGTTGAAGATAAACTTTAGAACTTTAGACAGTATTTGTGAGTCCAGTTCACCAACAGATTCTAAGTAATTCTTAGCTAGGATGCAAACTTCATAAAATTCAGGGGCGTCTTTCGTATTTTTATTTTTGCATTGTGCAGCTATTTGGTCTAAAACATCCTCATATGTTATTACCGTGAAGCGTTGTCTTTGTCCATTAATAACCCCAACAGTCAGGATTGATATTATTTCACTCTCAATTAGGACTGAAGGTGAGATAATAGAGAGTGACATATTCCAGTCATCCTAACCTAAATGAATAAAGCCGAACGCTGACATACATTGTTTAGTTTGAGATTACTAAGTTTCGTATCCCAGTCAATTGCGTCAATAGAAGCTCTTGGAGTTTTACTTTTAACATTTCGAGCACTTTTGGGCATTTTTGAAAAATCAAAGTTCGGTTTACATAGCAAACACCTTGAGGTTATTTTGTTTAAATAGAAAAACAAAATTAGTTCGATAACAGAAGTCTATGATGTTTTGCGATTTAGTGAGCTTTGTTTGACCAGCAAAGCCAATTTACTTGCTTGAGATACAAAGCAACTAGAAAGTATGTTCTTTAAGTCACACTTCAAACTCTCACATATCTAATATTGTGTATTTGTGACCATATCATATAAACCTGTCGATTTCTTGACGACGGTTTTTCAATGCTTTAGAACTGCGAGCTCCTGGTTAGAAAGCTTAACCTGTCAACTGCTGCAGGACTGCTAAAATCACAAGGAGGCGGTGCCAGTTTATTTTAGACATTTTTTGAACTAAATGAGTATCACTTCTGGGACATGATGTTCCTGTCTTGTCACACTGTAACAACTTGAGAAATTTCAGAAATTGGGAATGCAAAATTCCCTCAGTATGAAGAAGAAATGATGAGAAACCTTGACAGGAAAATAAAATACTCGAGGGTAGAATGAATAGAGAAGTTGGTGATTTGAAAATTTAAATATATGCAGCACTAACAGACATCTTCGGGCTAAACAGACGTGCTCCACAATGCCTTTGCGATAGCGTCTCTTTGTTTAGGTCGTTTGGGTTGTGCACTATTGTCATTCACCTGTAATTAATCAGCAGCTAAGAGGAAATAGATACGTATTGCAGGGCTGATCATAGTGCTATGAATCTCTTCTTTTCATGTCCACTGATTGACTGGTGTTCTTTTTTTGGAAGCTCTGGTTAAGTAGCATAACAGACCACTGATTATGGCTATATACATATATATATTGCGACTACATGAGCAGCCTACACGTAAATGCACCTATCTCTCTGGGCACAAGGGAGAGACTTTGGATACTTCTGCTGCGTAATTGTCTGTTGTGTCCACTTTCACTGTCGGGATTAGCCCAAGAACCTGCTCTGTCTCTGTGTGAGAAAATGGTTGTAAGTCGGCACCAGGGAACTCTGTGGGTAAACATGACCTTTCTTATGTGCCGTGATTCCTAAAATGGTAAGGTCCTTCTGCGGACCCGGTGATACTTCCTCATCCTTCGTAGTCATCTCCGTCTAACAGGAAATATCCACTTTTGTGAATAATTCGTTTGGGAAACCTGATCTTCCTATCCGGCGAATTTTATTCAACCATTTCTTCTTCACCGAGCCTGTGTTTGGTACTTCCCACTGTCTCGAACTACTGCCCAAGCTTCAGGTGCTACTTCTGTAGCAACATCCCCCTCACTCTTTCAAATATACAGGACTTGTTGGTCTGTTACGTGATTGTTGTGAAGCCGAATAACCCGAAAGTTACAGGTAAAGTCAAAAGCTTTTACTTATATACTTTATCTTTCTGTTCTGTGCTTTCTACTGTCTTTTGCTGTCAGTCTATTGGACAAAACTCCACTCTCTCTTATCATTTAATCATCAGTATTATTTTAGGAGTAAAATGACTATAGATTCTCATCCCAAGATAAGTAATGGGAGACCATGCACCGTAGTCACCAGAGCTTCAGCCAAACTAAGCAAACAGGTGAATAGTATGACACCTATATCCACAGTAGGCCTTGAAACAAACAGGAAGGCCAATAAGAAACGTTCACGACGTCGCAAGACGACTACAACGTTCCCCAAGAAGGCAGACGATTGCAAGGTCTGCAATTCTATTGTCGAACAAGCAGATTCTGCTTTCGAATGTAACTTTTGTAAGCAATGGGTACATTGTAGATGTGACACCGGGGTACCAAAGGTATATTACGATTTTATGCGCAAGAACCCATGCCCATGGTTCTGGTACATTTGCCCAAGTTGCCGTCCTAATGCAGCCTCGTGTAGTTCCTCGAAAGCTACAGATGTCATAGAGATATCAGGAAAAAACGTGAAACGTTTCACTCCCACCAACTCAGAAAACAGCACAATTGCATGTAAATCGGGGATACCAAAATCCACACCGGTTATACTTGCAATTCCTGCCATAACTGCCCCAGACACAGAGGTTGAAGCACCAAGGGTACCTGTCGCCGGGAAAAGACCCTTACCGTCCACCAGTAAAAGTGGCCACAGCACTGCGACACATAATAATACCCAGTTGCACCAGATGAAACAAAACGGTCTTAAGGGGGATGACAAATGTGCGAGGACCGAACCTAAATCCACGGTCAGTCGATCAAACTGCGTTATCCTCTTTAATGTACCAGACTGTAGCAGTAGTCTGCTGGAAAACAGGGCCCTGTTTGATCAGGAACAGTGGTCCAACTTATGTAGCACACTGGGTCTGGACATCCAACCAGTAAAACTGTGCAGATTGTATAAGGGCACTGCTGCTCCTCAAGGCAAACCATCCCCACTGAGGGTAACACTAGGCTCTGCCGAAGATGCCGAAAAAGTTTTATTGACTTCCCAAGTCCTTTCTATAGGGAGGACCTGCAATATACGTGTTAGGCCAGATAGGCCATGGAAGGAAAGACAGATGGCGAGGGAGTCGCCAGAGCTTATTCCTTCTGCCTCCATGGTTGTTCACGGCATTCCTGAACTGGAAACTGGGAACGCTTGTGAGAAGCACTGTCACGATGTCCAGCAATGGAGATGGTTGGCATCCCAGATGGGTCTGGGAAGTTCAGGGGCTGTCTCTATTTTTAGACTGCCTCGACCCACTCACCTAATGTCAATTAACACCCCACATCTGTTAGCTGTTAAGTTTAGCTCCCGAGACCACTTGACTACTGCTCTCCAGAGATGGTACGAGACCAAAGACAAGGTCAGCAGACACATTCGCTGCTGCGAGAGCCGGCCTCGTACCCAAAGGAGAGAGCAAAACGTTGTCATAGAACATCCCCAACCCCTAGTCACAATACAGCGGTGCAGCACGGACGATGATAGCCAGTGCCATCCAAGTGCTCCGATTGAATCAGAAGAAAAAAACTCCAACAGGCCGGTTCCCGGGGAATCGGCCAACTAGTTCGTAGGATAACTCCTCAACCGACAGCCCACATCACGTCAACCACCCCCCAATACGGGGACGTGGTGAGACTGACTACCAGTTGCCTGTACAGTAATGTGAGAGGTCTAAGAGGCAAAATAGCTGAACTTAGATACCTACAATCACAGCTGAACTCCAAAATCATAATACTGACGGAAACCTGGCTAACCCCTACGGTGGCAGACAGCGAAGTCAGTATAAATGATATGGTCCTTGTCAGGCGAGATAGGGATCTGAAAGAAGGAGGTGGAGTCGCCATATACGTCGACAAACAGCTCAGATGTGTCCATGCAATCGACCCTCCCCTCATTGAGCTCCCTGACTCCATATGGTGCCATTTCACCGTTGGGTACTGTAAGTATCTAGTGGGCAGCATTTACAGATCACCTTCATGTGGAGCAGACCACAACCAGGTACTGCTGAATGCAATTTCAGCGACACATGACCTGGGTTATGATCAAATTGTCATAGCTGGAGACTTCAATGCCCCATCTCTTAACTTGATGACGGGATGTGCCCAGGACAGATTTGATCGAAATCTGCTGCATACCATCACGGAGGCCGGATTCACCGAAAATGTCAGAATGGATACTAGATGGGGCCCAGATGGGAAGTCTTCTAGACTGGATTACGTGCTCACTAGTGACCAGCTACTAGTGGAAAACGTTCAGATCACGACTCCCATAGGTAGTAGTGACCATGCGGTCATAACATTCGACATAGTCCTCCGCGAGCGTTTACAGTGGGACAATACACAGCCCTATCTGTGTTATAACAAAGCCAATTACACCGAAATGCGAAGACTTTTGTCTGAAGCAAATTGGCCAAAAAATTGGACAGAGCTTACAGTAGAAGAACACTGGAGAGTGGTAAAGGAGATCATTCACCAGGCGATCTCAGACACTGTTCCTTTGGTCACACCTAAAGCTAGAAAGCAACGTTCATGGCTAAAAAGGGGGACACAACGCCTTCTACAGGCGAAGCGAAAAGCCTGGTTTGGGTGGCGAGTATCGCAGAGTCAACCCGAACATGAAGAGTACCTCGAACTCAGGAATCGGTGTAACATACGAGTCCGGAGTGATAGAAGGACATTTCAGAGAAACCTCGCCAATAAGCTTCTCGTGAACCCCAAAAGCCTATACAGGTTTATGTCTGAAAGAAAACCGACCAACCAGGGAGCTTGCAATATAGTGGGTTCTGATGGGAAATCTCTTACTAGTCTTGAAATGGCAGAGACATTCAGTCTAGCCTTTCACAGGCAACTGAACAGTAACGAGGATTTTACCCTCACAAAACATCAAGATTACAATGCAAGACCAACGTGCGAAAACCTGCTGGGTACATTTCAAATTACCCCGGCTATGGTACTCATAAAATTGGGAAAGTTGGCTTCGGGAAAGTCTGCAGGTTGCGACGACATAAGACCATCCGTCCTGAAGCAGTGTTCAGAAAGTCTCTGCCAACCCCTAAGTGATCTGTTTCAACACTCCTTTGATGTAGGGAAACTTCCATGTGAATGGAAACGAGCCATCCTATCCCCTATCTTCAAGGGTGGTGACCGGCAGAACGCGACCAGTTACAGACCAGTTGCGCTACTCCCAGTGATATCGAAGATATTCGAAAGTCTCATTGACGACCACATGAGAAAATACTTCGACGGGACTAACCTACTCCATGAAGCACAACATGGTTTCAGGAAGGGAAGATCCTGTGTGACGAATCTTCTACTAGCTTGGAACGATTGGACACTATCCTGGGATGTAAAGGTACCAGTCCATGTGATCTTTCTCGACTTTGCGAAAGCATTCGACACAGTTCACCATGGTCTGCTCCTTCACAAAATAAGCAAAGCGGGTGTTTCTGGAGCACTTCTCGCATGGCTGGAAGATTATTTAGGCGAGAGAGAATTCTGCACCAAAGTCAACCGCATCCGATCATCCTGGCACACCTCGGCATCAGGGGTTCCTCAGGGTTCTATCTTAGGGCCGTTGATGTTTTTGATTTTTATCAATGACCTGCCCTGTCAACTG